TAAGGGATACCATAATACCCAATGATCAATCAATCAAGAAGTCAACACAAAAGTCAACCCAAAAAGTCAACCCCAAAAAGTCAACGAAAAGTCAACACAAAATCAACCACAATCCATGATACTTAAATTTGATATAAACACTAATAACACCCCAACAAGCAATAATCGATCAACAATCATTTCAATTCGCAATCAAACGCATTATGACACCCANATACACGCAAAAACCATGGTCACGCACTCACCTGTTTTGCGACTGGAATAACTTCCGACTCACTGGACCAAATCGCGAACGGAAAACGGTTCTGGAGACTAGACACCAACAGCTTTCCAACGCCGTATTGCAAGACTCCTAACTCCAAACGGTTCGCCGGGAAATCGTCCCCGAAAACAGCAACTNCGGACGAAACCGCAGGAAATTGCAGAAAAACTGCACGAACTACCCANGTTCAAAGGACCATAACTCAGCNAATTCTNAACCAAATCAANGTATAAAACCTGTTCTAGAAACTAGACATCGAGAGCTTTACAGAGGTGTATAGAACGTAACCTAACTCTAAGCAGTTCGACGGGAAAATTAGCTCGCAAACTCGATTATCAGAACTGAGAACAAATATTTCAGAAACGCCACACTAACTTCAAAAACACACAGAGAACGGAGGTCACCTCTGAATAAACCGAAATCGGTGTCTGTGGAAAGATAAGACACAGAGCTTTCCAATGAAATCTTGCTCGCCTCTTGGGTCCTTACAGAACGACGGGAATCGTCCTTGGAAGTGGACTGATCGCAGAAGAGATGCTGCAGAAACATCTCTCAGTAAAACGACCATAACTCCTAGAATACTCAACCAAAAGACAAGCGGTTTTCTCCTATATGAAGCTAAAAGAGTGGAGAACTTACCCTCAAAATTCGAGACCAAACTGATCCGTTCTCCCTAGCCGTTCGTCCCTTCTTCACTCGGTTGTTACTCTTCTTCCTCTTCTCTTTCTCACTAACTCTCGGTTCTACTAAAAATTGGGCAGCGTTTTGGTATGGAAGAAGAGTGGCTGAGAACAAAAGGGAGGGAGTGATATTTATAGGCAAAGCCCCAAGACATCCAAGCATGGGTGTGATGAGCATGGGGAAACATGTTTCTTCTTTAACATTTCCCAAACACAAAAAAAAAACACTTGCCCATGCCACTCATTCTTTAATCAAAGAGCCCATGCTCATTTGTTTAAATTCTCAACACCCATGCTTAATTAATTAATCACTCCACCACACCCAAATATTTTATTCCTCCGTTACCCACGATGGCTAAAAACCTTCCCGAGATCCGACTATTTTTCCTTTAACACGAAAAATTTTTCCCAATAAAAATGACCCAGTCGATTGAAAACGAGCTGGTCAATCGACATCCGAACCAAAAATACACATTTGGCTCGCGGACGTTACACTAAAATTGTGTTTTCTTGTAGTGTAACTCACAT